CAGCCACTGTTTATTTGAAATCTCCCACAACAGAGCTTTATGGCAACGTTCTCAGACCATCTCCTGCCTGTAACCTCCCTCAGGCTGGAAGGTTTTTCCTAATATCTAACCTCAGTTTCTGCTGCAGCTAAGCCTATTATTTTTGTCCTATTTATGTGGATGCTTCCCTTCTACTTTGCAAAATATGCTTCTTACAGAAAACCAAATTCCTCTGTCCCCTCTGGTCATCTGTTGTTTATACACAGCACTACACAGTCTCTAACATGACCTGTGAGTGCAGGCTTTTCCAACAGTTGCTGATTCTCTCTGCATGGCTTCCCCCCAGCCACTTCACATTTTCCTAGAAGAGGGGAAAAAAGCTGCTCAACATTTGACACAGCACTCTCGCTGAAGCCTGCCTAGTGCTGAGTGGAGCTGAAGTATCGCTCCATGCATTTTAAAAGTTACCGTTCTGCGTAAACATCCTCATATTGACATTTAACATTTTCACAACAGCCAGGTCCTGTTGAGTCATGCTCAGGTTGTGATTCACTCCCTGCAGAGCTGCTGCTAGACCTTGGATCCCCGCCCTTCCCCCAGTGCTCTGCAGGTCAAGCCCTTGTTTGTAAGCTGGTGTTAAGGCTGGCTTGTTGCTCACTTTTTCCTCCTCCTCCTTTTCATTTTTTTAGAAACAGCATGCCAAAGCCAGCTCTTGTTTTTCTTTCCTGGAGTTCTCAGTATGCACCCTCCCCTCCCTCTGCTGACAGCACATGGGTTATCTGTCTTCACTAACTTCCAGCTTCTCCCCTCACCAACAAAGGTTTTTCTGGGTTTGTTTTTTGTTCGCATCCAGAGAGCTCAAGTGAAAACAGCTCATGATCTGCGTGAGATGCACTCCTCCACCCATCTGGCTTCGTTGCACAGGGAACATACTGTCACAATCTTTGAAGCTCTCCAATCCCTAAGGGCCCCCAAACCACCCCCCTTCCAGAAGCTCTGGCTCAGAAACTGAGGTGACCCGACCTCTCTGGCCAGGGCTGAGGGCAGCTCTCAGCCCAGGGAACCAGCTCACAAGTTGGGGTGTGGGTGCAGATCCAGGGGCCAGCAGAGCTTTTCCTGGCAATTCCAGTCCAAAGCAAAAGAAAAGCAGAGAGTCCTCTGTTCTTCCCTCATGCTTTTGCATGCTCCCTGTTAACTCAAATCACACAAGTATTTTTCCCATAATACCCTTTGAGGAAGCCCTGTAAGCAGAGAGTAAAAACCTCTTTTTCACCTTTGCAAGTTATATTTAGTACATAGCTATCAAAGGATTGTCAAGCAATATCAGTACATCAACGTTTTCTAGTGGAGGTGCAATTCTGCACTTTTTAAAATAACAACGGTCTAATAAGCCATAAACTTAAATTTACTGAGCTACTCTGTCTGACCTCCTTAGCTGAATGACTGCAATACAATGCACACAGCAGTGTAAATCTGCAGAGCTCCAAGTATCATCCAGAAGCTTTCATAACAGAAATTAATGAATAGGAGTCCAAAAATTTCATAAGGAATGAAATTTTGCAAACTGTTAGAAGACCAGCTAAGGCAGAATTGCATGATGTTTTGCAGAGCACCTATAGTAAGTTCAATACTTTTCATGATATTACAAAACAAAAATCACTTAACTGACCATAGGCTTGCCAGGTACTCCAAAGCTGGTGTTAAAGCACTCTTAGGTTGTTTACTGGTGTGATGATGAAGAACTTTAGCTGACAGTGCAAATACTTCTGGAAAGCATGGGACCTAAAAGGAAAGGAGGTGGCAAAGAAAGTACTAATACCTGACAGATATGGTAGCAACACAGAAAATTTCACCTGAAAAAATTGCAGATCTTATGTAGCAAGAATAGAAGATAATACGCAATATCATAGAATCATCTAGATTAGAAAAGACCTTCAAGATCACCAAGTTCAATCTGTCCTTAGGTGCCACAGCTACATGCCTCTTAAATGCCTCCAGCGATGGGGATTCCACCACTGCCTGCAGCAGCCTGATCCAATGCTTGACCATCCTCTGTGAAGAAATTTTCCCCAGTATGCAATCTAAACTCTCCTGGTACAACTCGAGGCCATTTTCTCACATCCTATCACTTTTCACCTGAGAAAAAATGTCTGACACCCACCTCACGGCGTTCCTTTCAGGCAGTTGTAGAGAGCAATGAGGTCTTCCCACAACCTCCTCTTCTCCAGATGGGACAATCCCAGTTCCCTCACTTGCTCCTCATGTGTTTTATTTTCTAGTCCCTTCACCAGCTTCATTGCTCTTCTCTGCACTCAACACTTGAATAACCCAATATCCTCCTTGTAGCGAGGGGCACTACAAGATGAACATAGCACTCGAGATGTGGTCTCACTAGGGCTGAGCACAGGTGGATGATTACCTCCCTGCTTCTTCTGGCCACGCCTTTTCTAATACAAGCTTGGATACAATGCCAAGGGCTTTCATGGCCACCTGGGCACACTGTTGGCTTATGTTGAGCCTGCTGCCAACCAGCACCCTCAGGTCCTTTTCTAACAGGCAGCTTTCCCCAAGCCTGTGTCAAGTGCAGCACCCAGCACTTACCTTTGTTGAATGCCATACATCTGTGTGTGGCTCCTCTAACCAGATTCCTCTTCAAAACCCTCCTGCCCTCAAGCAGACAAACAGTCCCACCTAACTTGGAATCACCTGTGAACTTCCTCTCATCCTCTCATCTCTCATAAATATACTAAACCAAATCCAGTACTGAGCCTTGGTCTGACAACCAGACTGATCTTCACAGTAACCCTTTGAGCCCATCCGTCCAACCACTTCCTCACCCAGCAATCTTTATGCCTGTCCAAGCCACAAGCCACAGTTTCTCCAGGAGAATACTACAGGATGTTGTCAAGTGCTTTAATAAAATCCAGGGAGACAACATCCACAGCCTTTCTCTTGCCTACTAAATGGATTAGCTTGTCATAGAAGGATTGTCCCGATTGTATGGTGTGATGATGTTCAGGATGATCTGCTCCATGAATTCCCTAGTACTGAGGTCAGACTGACCTGAAATACATGTTCACTAACCTCCAATCAACTGAGGCCTCATTTAGCCAGGTCTGCTGGTAAATGGCAGAAAGTGGCTTGGTGAGCATTTCACCAGCTCCTTCAGTACCACTGAATGAATCCCACATGGTCCCACAGACTTATGAATGTTCAAATAATGTAGTAGGTCAGTTTCCTACTGGAGTTAGGTTCTTCACCTAACTCCATTTCATCATCTTTGAAAGCAGAGGGCTGGCTACCCTGAGAACAACTGGCCTTCCTGCTAAAGACTGAGGCAAAAAAGGCACTGAGTACCTCAGCCTTATCCTTACCTTTCATCACTGCGTTTCCTCTCACACCCAATAAATGGTGGAGATTATCCTCAATCCTCCTTTTGCTGTCGTTCTATTCACAAAGCACTTTTTTAAATTGTTTTTTTGCTGCACCAGCCAAACTGAGACCCAGTTGGGCCTTGGTCCTTCTACTTTTTTTGCCTGCACAGCTTGACAACAGCTCTAGTTCTCCTGAGTTGCTTGCACCTTTTTCCAGAGTTCATAAACTCTTTCTCCCCAAGTTCCCAAAGAAGATCTCTGCTCATCCAGGCTGGTCTTCTCCCCCAGCAGCTTGGCTTTTGGTGCATTGGAATGGACTGCTCCTGTACCTTCAAGATTTTTTTCTTGAAGAAGTTCTAAGATAAGAAAGCAATCTAATTCAAAATGATCTCATCAATGATACTGAGGAATAACTGAGATTATACTAATAATTGTCTCTCTACTGCACAGTGTTCTGGTGGCTTTTTTTGTTTTTTGATCTCCATTAGCTTCTTACTGATACATTGCATTGCTGACAGGGCGCTTATAAACCCTTTCTCGAATGTTAGCTGCAAGTTTATCATACCACAGCCCCGACTCATCAGTGGGGTCAATAAATGTTGCCACAGTGCAAAGAAATAATTAAATAATCATGAAAAAACAAGAGAGTGACTTGAAGTGATCTTCTACTTAGAACAATAGAGATATCATAGGCTTACTTCGAATATAAAATCAGAACTTGGTCTCATTTTTTGCCTTTGCTTTGGATAAGCCCACGATGGCAATCTCCACCATTAACATATGGTGAGTTCTTTCTCAAAACACTGCCAGTTTAACATATGTTTCATCTGCGCAATACCATAAATAAAGTGGGAAATTTGCTTGGCTTTCAAGATGCACATGAAGCAGCCAGGAATTTTTCCTGACAAATAACGAATGGCCTGTGATACGACAAGGATGAACTATTCCTACAGTCTTTAGCACAATGCTCTGGCACAGCATGCAGAAGAAAGCCAACAATAACATGTGTAGATAAGCTGTGCCATTGCTGCACCCATTTCATATGCTCTGCCTAAGTAAAACCACTCTGTCCAATTGGAGCTAGATAATGGATATAAAATGCTCTAGAGCGGGGGTTCTCCTGTCATCCCATCTTTCAGGTGGGAGCTGGTGAAAGAAGGAAGGAAGGGGAAAAAAGGCCAACTAGACACAGTCTGATAAGTCAAAAGAACTGAAACTGAACTTTATTTTTTTAAAGTATTCTACAATAATGGCTCAGAATACTACCGCAGCGCACAGGGACAAGGCAGTGCTCTGGGCTATGACTGTAGATTACTCTAATGCATTTATCTGTCAAAGCTTAAGGAAGGTTGAAACGTGGCAGTTCAACATTTCTTAAGCAAATATTTCATTATTTTAATGCTTTCTAGGTCTTTCATATGATAGCAGGGTTTATCAAATGCAATGTAGTCACAGAAGTCTTGCATAAATACAAATATTGATATTTTACCTTGAATACTGTATATTATATAAATTCTGCCTTACCTTTAAAAAAAATCTCCAGGTCATTACGTGATCCGGAGTCTTTCCTTTTCTTTCTCTGTAAGAGTTTTTAAATATATATATATATTTATATATATTTGCTATCATACATCAAAGTACATACGAATCCCATTGTTTTCTGCAGACATGGTATGAAACAAAATAACCAACAACCAAACCATAAGCTTTCTGATTTACATAGGAAAGTCAAAGAGGATCTTCCCTCTTTTGCGTGTGTGTTTCAGGACTAGGGTTTTCTTTTTGTTTTTGGTTTGTAAGTTTGAAAGGATTCTTCATAAACTAGAGATCCACAGATCATTCAAAGCAGTCTTTATAAGCAAATTTACATACTTTGACATGCTTTTGTGAGGCAGTTAGTATCAAAATCCAACAGTATTTCTACAGAACCATATGACTTTCTGCGATGCAGATATACATTTCATTTCTAAAAAGCCACAGTTCTTTTTCTACATCTGCTCTCATCAAATCCCCAGGATTCATTCATAAAATTGCTGTTCCAAGTGCTGATGCTGTTATCTCCACTGTGGATTAAGATGTACACACAATCTGGTGACATCATCGTGTGGAAGATTGTTAAGTACCCTCCCCAGATCCACAGATAGTCTTTTCTATCTCTGAGTGCTCAGGATTCATGTCACCCAACAGTGCAATGTAATGATGACATGTCTCCATGCAGGCTAAGGGTCTTCTTCCATCAAAGGAATCTCTAGAGGGAAAAGAGAAATGGTATTGATTACAGGCTGGGTCTTGCCTTTAGATATTTTCAGAGTAGTATTATTAGCAACTCGGAAAAAATATAAATGTAAAAATCTGAAGAATACATAAAGAGTCTCCAATTCTATACCCCATGTGAAAATCACAGAATCACAGAATTGAGTTAGAGGGAACCCTTAAAGGTCATCTGGTCCAAATCCCCTGCAATGAACAGGGACACCTACAGCTCGATCAGGTTGCTCAGATTAATCTACTAAGATTATCCATGTTTCCTAAAACAAGTTAGGCCCACCAAAGCTAAGTGCAAACATCCTTTCTACTACATTTAACACGGAATCTGCATTCAGAGTAGGCAGAGCCTTACTGGGATCATCATCATTCCTCCCACCTCCTTCCAGCTGTCCTCTCCCACTTGTAATGCCATTAAAAGTCAGCCCCAACCTTATGGTGCAGGAGATTTCTTCCACCCCAGTCTTCACCCACACTTCTTTAAATGTCTCTAAAGAAAGCTAACTAGTTTCTTTATTAAGCTGAGAAGGCTCTGTTAGAACTAAATGAAATTGCATCAATGCATGCTCATGATTTAAATGCAAACAGTAATACATGATGATCTTCTACCACAGGGTTCTCTCCTGCATGTTCTTATACTGTGACTCCCATGTCCATAAAGTGTATGTAAATGCTCTCATGCCTTAGACTGAAAAGTTCATCATGCATGCAGACACCAAGAGCTTGTCAGCGAAGGCTGCTAACTCTGACTGGGTATGAAATACATGGTGAAAGTAAAAAGCAGGTCAGCTGGCTTTATTGTTGCTCTGTCTGTACAAGCAAATCTCTAAGGACTCGCATATGGCACCCATGTGTGACTCACCATCTGTAATATCAATCCGTGGGCTCGTGGACACAGCCTCCCCAGCAGTGCTCCGGGATGCATCAGTTCGATCTGAGCTGGCAAGCACTGCTGCTTGGCACACCGGGGGTGAGTACAAGCTTTGGAGCAGTTCAGAGGAGCCTGATTGACTCTCACAGCTCTCGAATTCACTTGGCAGCATGTCTGTAATCCTGGGGCCAGGATAAGCAGGAGGACTTTGATCTTCTGTCTGCAAAATATGCCCCTGGTCCACTGTGGCTGAGTATCCAGGTGCCAGAGCATTCAGGCTGCTGCTTACAGCTTCATCGTAGGAAGGCAGCATGACAGGAACACCATCCACTACCACGAAGTCGGGGTCACCCACAGAGCCCTCCTGGTTGCCTCTAAGTCAAACACAGGAAAATGATCACAGAGAGCCAGAGGGTTTCATAGAATTGTTTGAGTTGGAAGGGACCCTTGAAAGCCATCGAGTTAAACTCCCTGCAGTAAACAGGAACATCTGCAGATAGATCAGATGCTCAGAGCCCTGTCCAGCCCGACCTTGGATGTCTCCAGGAATGGGGCACCCACCACCTCTCTGGGTAACCTGTGCCACTGCATCACCACCCTGATTGTAAAAATCTCCTTCCTTATATCCAGTCTAAATCTGTCCTCATTCAGTTTGAAACCATTTCCCTTTGTCCTACCACTACACACTCTGCTAAACAGTCTGTCCCCTTCTTTCTTACAGACCCCCTTTAGATACTGGGTTTCTGAAGCACCTTCTGGAGCAACTGCTGAATGTAAGGAAACACAACACTTCCTAATGGCACAAATTGATGCTACAGGACCATTAACATTCACAGAGATGTCTGCCTCACAGGTCTGCAAAAATCTGTTCAGATTGACAGTCAGGTGGAATCCGTTACAATCGGATAAATGAAACAAGTAATGTGAAGCTCAATTTAGAGAAGGGAAAGAAAACAGGTGCTTGGAGGAGATAAGGAGTGCCATTTGCTGTGCCACGCAGAGTAGGTATCATGGATATGAGATCACAGATGTTACTCAGCAGTCACAAGTGTCTGAACCCCTGAAAAGATGCAGACTAGAGCAAAGAAGTGTTTGCAGCATATGTAAACAGGCTGTTACTGGATGGCAGGGTTTTGTTGCCAGATATTGGACTCCTTCAGTTCTTGCTTTCAAAGGATGAAGGCATTTAGCACTAGGCTGGTTTCCTTTAAAAACAAAACATTTACATTATGCTGGGAAGGTGTGGTGAGCCCCGAACTATCTGTTTTATAGTCAATCAGATCACAACAGATACTCAGCAGGAAGGAGTTGATCCCAGGTACCATTGGGACAGGAAAACATCTGGGAAGAAGAGGCCAGAAAGCCACTTCAATAAGCTAGAGGAGAGCAGGCTATCTGTGGTGGAACCTTTATCCTCAATTCTTCCCAGTTATATAGGTGTATGTACGCTCCCCATATGAATATTTATGTTAGTTTATACATTATTTCTATAGAATCATAGAATCATTAAGGATGAAAAAGACCACTAAGATCATCTAGTCCAACAGTCAACCCATCCTCACCATGTCCACTGACCACATCTCTCAGTGCCACATCTCCATGGTTCTTGATCACCTCCAGAGACACTGACTCTACCACCTCCCTGGGCAGCCTGAGCCACTGCATCACCGCTCTTCCTGAGAAGACATGTTTCCCAATGCCTAACCTGACCCTCACCTGGTGCAACTTGCGGCCATTACCTCTCATCCTATTACTGTTACCTGGGGGAAGAGGCCGACCCCCATCTTGCCAAATAAAACATATATTTTCATGTACATACACTTAATTAACAATAAGACTGCGAAGTTCGTTCTCCTGTATTGGCCTGGGGACATATTCAGTAATATACAGCTTTTTACCTCTCTCCTCTGTACATGGTAGAATAAAGACAAAAGAAAAAGAAAGAGAAGGAGTCACTCAGTCAAAGCCCATAGCAAACTGAGCACAGACGGAAACCTCAGAGCGGATCTAAACCCAGATACAGCATTAGCTCTGCCTCAACTTTAGCAACACCTGTCTTTGTTTTTCCAGTGTTACAATAATAATAACACCATCTACCTGTCTCTTTATGAGTGCTGTGACAAATGCTCAATGACATATGCTGATAGTATTTCATGGAAGTAAAGGAAGATGTAGGAGATGTTTATGAGGGGAAAGCAAATTTTAAATTTAATTTTGTCTACAGGAAAAAAAAACACAAAAAACCCATCTTTCATAAAATTTACGTTATTAAATCTACAGAACTTAAAAAATTAAGTCCCTCAGCACCCAACACTGAGTACTTTAAACTGTTTTTGCTGTCATTGATTTTCATGCAACTGTCAACTATTTTCACATGCAGAATCAGGAATTCTCAGTAGTTAGCAGAGCTGTAATTGTACCCAAAATGAATCTGGACAACTTTGCCTTTTCCATAGAACAGCTATGGAAAATTCTACGGTTCCAGGGGTGCCCGTCTCTGCAGGTAGATCAGAGTGTGGAAATAGGATCAAGGGCCCCAATCTTAATAAAACAATAAAATAAAATAGTAATAAAATAACATAATAAAATAATTAAAGAAAACAGTGCAAACCTTGGAAGGAAATGTGTCTTAAATTTGGTCTGGAACATTCTGGCTAAAATGACCAGTAGAAGTACTAATAAAACACTGGTAGCAGTAAATGCCACTATTTTCCATGTAGTCAGGAGGGTCTCCTGTGTATTTGGCCAGGTTTGTTCTGTAACAAAAAGACAATAACACCACAGTTATTTCTGATCATTACTGTTGCTAGTTTATAATAATTCAACAATACTCAGAAGGGCCAGTTAGGATGAGAGATTTCTTATATGCGTGTTTTACATGCACATACATATATGAATCAAATTTACACTCATTAATCTAATTCCAAATACCAAAGCAGCCTTAACAACAAATTGTCACTGAGGCCGGACCTTGCTTTTTCTCCTTGATGTTATTTTTATGCATGCAATCATAAATTTAGCTTATCTATGCATTAAGACATCAATATTCAAAATTACATTTGAAAAGCTAAATATTGAAATGATTTAGGATCATTCAGGAAATAAAATATGCTGCATTTAATGGCATTTTAAATCAGTGATTGTCACTTAAGCATGAAATAATGAGTTTCACCAGACATTACTCACCTCCAGATTTGCTCAGAAGGAGGTGGGCTACAGGAGGACAGAGGCTGCTCCCTTACCTGTTTTGACACAGTAGACTTGGTAGGAGGGGAACCACTCTCCGTACTGGCAGGTGATGTATTTGTAGTCATTGGTGAGGGTGTATCCGGGGTCACAGTAGAACTCTACCACTGTCCCGTGGTTGTAGCGCTCGCAAGGCCGCGGATGGCAGATGTAGTCTCCATGGCTGACCATTGGAGGTAGCGGACAAACTTGGCCAAAACAAACAGAGAGAAAAGGAGAGAGAAGTTAACCACAGCCACTGACCAGTGTGTCTCAAAATCCCCTCCAGGCTCCCTGCCTTGTGGGTAGGTACATCTGCGTGGCACCAGTGGATGGATGCACGCACCTCCTGCAGCAGCATGGGAGCTTTTGGCTTACACTTACACCAAAAAGCTCTGCTGTCTGTTTGCTTAAAAACATGAAAGATGGCATTGGTGAAGCCCTCCAGCCTCTGGATGAGGGGAGGAAGGGAGAAAGGGACATGCATGGCTATAGGAAGGCTACATGGGGATGGAAGGGGGCAGTCAGAATAAAGACAATCTCTTTCCTTATGAAGCATCTCAAATTCAGCTGTAAGATCTTTTTTTTTTTTTTTTTTTTCCATTAGCACAGTTGACTGATTGCATGCCCTAATTAAATTCTGCAATATTCACTTTTATGAAGAAATTTGCTATCAGCAGTGCTGGAAGAGATGCTTGGCACACAACGCTGCTTAAGCAATTACAGTTGTGCCACTGTAATTTTGTCTCACTGGGCTAAAACCACACCAGTGCTATTTGTGTTTTGTTATCTCTGAGCAGCCCTGGTGATTCCAGCGGTGATTGCTGCTGGGGTGAGGCACTGAATAGAACAGAGGCTGAGCCTGTGTTAATTAAATACAGTGGTGTACATGAGGCTATGTAAATAAGACCGAATTACAACATAAACATGTGAACTTTTATTGTAGATCCCGAAACAAGAAGAAATGCCCCCTCACAATGCTAGGAAATTAATAATTCAACAGAGTTGAAAGAGCAGTCTCTAGGATGCAGCAGCTAAAGCAGCTTGCAGGCAGTGCTTTTAAAAGAGAGGAAACATATACTGAAAAAGTATTAGTTAATTACTATTTTAAGTACTGTTCCTAACACAAAGGAAAACAGGTGTAATGATGTCTAAAATGGCCACATGCTGATTGGAGAGGGCTTAATCCAGCTAACTGGACTGTTTTATCTCCCTTTGGAGGCAGTAACGAATGGGATTGGAGCCCCATCTGTGTGCTGCCCACCCCTCCGCCTCGTGCCTCCCTCACACAGCCCAGCCCTACTGCATTGATTTAAAGAATGAAAATGCCATCTCTCCAAAGAAGAATCTTCCCAGAAATTACAATGCAGCTGCTTCTCTCTGCGAGCCTTGTTACATGAATAATGTATTTCATAAAAAAATACACAAGATATTAAATGAATCTTCAAGAGAAGCTGATTACAATGTGCAGCACTGTCTGTTCCCCATCCCCTGGAGACATGGTTTTGTTTGCATTTTCACTGGCAAGGCTCAGTAATAACTTGAAATCAGAGCAAGTAATTCACATAAAAATTCGCATCCTCCATACTCTGCATACTTTCCAAAGTCTCTAGGTCCATGAGAAATAGGAAGGGTTTACTGAGAGGTGAACTCAAGACTGAAAACAATTTTCTTAAGAATAAGGCAAAGGCGTGCATCTGAAATAACAGAAAAGCACCTTTGTCTGTATCAGTGATCATTCCTCTATTACAAAGAAAACAATCACAGAAAGCAACAATTTTGGCCTACTGTAAGAAAACCTCATATATTTTTATTATCTACATTTATAGCATGAGAACAAAGACAGTAACTTAAACTTCTTTGCAATTGAGTTTTGGCAGGCTATGACAGGCGGCAGGAGACGTGTGGATGCACACAGCCCTCCAAGCTACAGGGAAAGTAGAGCACGTCTTATCACAGGGGGCAACTGCTCTGATAAACAAATTCCTGCTCTCCAGCCATGCACCTGCTGCCTTTCCTGACACACCAAACCCCAAATCTACTAATGCCATTAAGGGCCAAAGCAGCCTTCTGAATTAAAATACATACATAAATAAATAAAAGCCTCAGTGCTGGTCTCCCAGCTCAGGAATGATATATTTTGCAGTCAGATTAAAAACCATGCAGTGGGTACAGCCCATATGCGGAGCTGTCAGTTTGTTTACAAATGGAGATATGCTTTAGAAAACCTGTGAATAAGAGCATTGCTCTTAGTGTAGGATATGTCCCCAGTCAGCTAAAAACGGGTGCCACCCCTCCCACTGACACCTTCTTCATTTCAAGGGAAATGATCATGTACTGATGCTGCCCAAAAATGTCTGTAAACATTTCTGTAAAGTGCTGTACTATGTTCGTTGTGAGTTGGAGTAAGGTTTTAAATAGCTGTACATCCCAACCACTCTTGCGTTAAATTACAACAGTGGTTGCAATGGAATGGGTTTCAAAATATCATAGCGTAGAATGATCAAGGTTGGAAAGACCACGAAGATCATCTAGTCCAACCAATGACAGATTTAGGCTCAATGGAAGCAAGACTTTGTTCTGACAGCTGGAATGTCAGAATCTGGGTTTTTCAGTCACAGGACTTATCCCTCATCACCTCCTATGAACGTTATGTTCATCAAGTTTAAGGAACCTTCCAACAGTTGTATGGGCAAACTGGCCCCCACATGCATTTGTGAGCAGGGTGATTAATGATCAACACTCAGGTTCAGAGCCTCTTTTTCCAAATGAAATCAAACTAGATGAGTTATATCACCAGCAACCAAAGATTAACTTATTTCCATCCCTGGGCAGTTAGTCATATATTTAGTTCCTTTTTCAACTCACTCCATTTTCATCATCATCCTGGCCCACAATCCTTTAGAGTCAATGCAAGTCATAGAAGACCAAGATTTCAGCCATTCTGGATGGCTGTTGAGCACTCTTGGCTCTCAGTAGACAGGCTTTTTGTGCAGAGCTAGTTGTCTAACAGGGCCAATTCCTCACTGTTGATATATACCTAGTATCATGCTAGATATCAGTGCACGGTACCAGTGACACAGACTAAAATAGTGTGGCAGATCAAATATGAACTAAAACTCAGGTGGCAAAACTTCAGCCCACTGAAGTTTTCTAGGAAAGTTAAAATTCTTGGAACGTCAATAATCATTCCTTGGCTTATTTGGCAATTACAGGCCATGGACTTCAGGCAAAGGCATCAAATGCATCCTCTGGGCACTGGATCCAGGATTTCCGGATTAGTCTTTATAGATCAGTTGGCCACAGGCTGTAAGGGGACTCACAGAGACTTTACAGCAGTCTTTTCAGTCAAAACGTGAAATCATTAAATAAAAAGAATGAATGAATGTGTTCACACCACAAATAAATCCATTCTGGTAAGCTCAGGACTGCTGATGCTCAGGGAAGCTGTAGGGAAGAATTCCTGACTGGATCTGACAGCCAACCCCTCCTGCTCTGAGGAGCACTTGGAGCTTGGGGCTCTCCAGCTATGGGCTTTCTGCTCTGAGCAGTCTTAGTCAAAGATTAGTACTCTGATGAAGAACTTAAAACCTGAGTTCCAAGCCTTACATTCCAAACACAGTTACATACTGCCTTGGAGAAGAGGACCTCCTTCAGGCTTGTAGGAGATAGTTACTAACAGAAGACAAGAATATGTTCTAGTGCTGATGTCCTGGAAGCAGAAGAAATGTCTGTGGTGTCCTCTGCAAGGGACACCAAGCACAAGGCAAGGGTGACTCTGCTCCACACCCACTGCCAGTGGGCACTTATACATCAGATCAATGAATAGAGTTCTCCTCATTTTTACTAGCCATTATGGGCAAGGAGCTTTTTAAGCTCTGCCCAGAGGATGCTGCAGTTAATCTGCACTGCTGACACTAGGACTGTAGGAGGGAGAGAAAATGTTTGGCATTAGCACAGTCTCAATTAACACTGTTGGCACAGAATAAAGGTGTCACATCACTTTTTCAAAGCCAGGGGTAGAGAGATGACAGTGAAGCTTCAGATACATAAAGTGCTCAAAATCTATTTTTAGCCAATTGGTTCACTGGCATTCTGGTTAGTAGTTTAGTTTTTGCTCAGAGTAAGCAAGATGTAAATTATTCAGGTTTTGCCTAGTTTTTGTACAGAAGCCAAAAAACAAATGCAACAGTGTCTTGAAACACAGGCTGCTGAAGTGCTATGAAGAAACAAGAAGCCTGTTCTCCAGCTTTGATTTTTTGTGTAGTAGGGATTTTTCTCTTCCAGCCTTTCATGTATCATACTGGTTCCTATGTTAGCTAGATAACAGAAAAACCCAGTGTAAGGCCAGCTGTTTTCTGTTTCACACAGGGATAGACAGTGCTAGTGACATTTGCACCAAATGAAAAATAAAGCTTCTTCCAAATTCACCACAAATCCCTTTTTTATTATCCAAAGAGTGAGAAAAAATTAAGATGAAACTTCATGACAAGGAAGACACTTGGAAGCCCTCGCTCATCCTTGCTACCCTCCTGCCTTGCTATCTTCTGCTCTGTGTGCCTGGCTGCCTTGTACACAGTTGAGGTAGATGTATCCCACTGCAGTGCACAGGGCATCCTCAGCTCTTCACACTTGGTAACCAAGAACAGGACACTCAGTAAAAACTCTCTGTTCTACCAGAACACAAATTCTTACTTCCCTGGAAAGCACACTGAGTGACCTATATATATTTCTCCCAGGCTGTCTGCCTTCCAGCCCTCTTATCCTCCCATGCAGCAAAGGGGCCAGCTGACAATCCTATGCTTGGCCACCAGATGGGAGAATGTGAGAGTGCAGTTGGGAGATGCAATTGCTTTTCACTAAATTGCATTTTCATGTCAGAACTGCTAAAATCTATAATTCAGTTCCAGCATATTGAATATGCATTATCAGTTCCATCCCAATCACTGTTTACAGCAGGAGAATGCAGCAGTTCTCTGCTGCATCCCAGCAGAACCAGTTTCCCATCTAAGCCTAGTAAGGGTCCTTCTCCCTGTCATATCTTTGAATAAGCACATCCTCGTATATGTCCAATTTGAATTTTTATGTTTATTTTTACAGTAACACTGAGGATGAAACCTGTTTGTTTCATGCTCAGCCAAGAAGCCTTTCTCCTAACTCAACAATTGCTGTCCTGTGAAGGGAGTTAGTGCTCATTTTAGCTGTGATT